GGTCAGGGGCCTGTTAAAATAGTCACAGCTGTTAAAATCTTATTTTTTAGCAATTGTAGCATGAGACTTTTATATATGACCATACCTTAGCTTGCTTATCAGATTCTTGTTTTCAGTTTAGAACCAAATACTGTAGTGCTTGGCACTTCATTGTTCCTGGACTTCTCCTCTTGCCTGTTGATTGACACTCCCTTTCTCAAGCACAAGGAGAAAACATGACCTAATAGCACAGTTCTTAGGGTTCCATGAAAATAACCTAGAGCTAACTCTAGTTCTTCCAAACTCAGGCATGTGTTGTTCCTAAAAATGCTGGACATGAGTTTGGTTCCTAGCATTGATATCAGGCAGCTTACAACTACCCATAACCAGCGTGGGGGTTCCCACACCCTCTTCTGGTCTCCACTCACACACACACACACACACACACACACACACACACACCATGTGACATACATTCACAAAGATGCATACATATATGCACTACATTACAACAAACAAATGAGCAAACAAGTGAGACAGAATCTATTTTGGCACTGGTGAGAAAAAGTCTCAGTCTTGCACCCTTGATCCAGGAAGTCTCTGCCTATTAAAGTTTGGGAAGCCCTCGTTACTATTAGCCCACAGTACTATTTTCATAGTACTGTGCAAATTCGCTGTTCAGTAGGGAAGTATCCCATTGAACCCTCTGGAGAGGCTAGTTGGGCGTGCATTAGGCAAAGACATACCGTTACATCCAGTTGTACTGCAAGAAGACATGAGGTTTAGAGAGGTGTGGCTGTAGCTGAGCTTCAGACTCGGGTTCAAGATCCATATGTGCTCCCAGCACACGGTAAGTCATACCTGGGGGGTGAGCAGGACACTGCACAAAGTTTGTGTGTGGACTAGTTAGCAACTGGGTGTTAGAAATATAATCCTGCATCCGTTAATATGTTTTGATTGGAAGAGTTTGCTGAGGAGTTTCAGGAGACCGAGCTGGATTAGAGTGGAGAAGAAAGACACCAGTTATTTAGAATGTGTGAGTTCCACATTTTAACCCCCTCAAATACATCCTTATCAGTAAGTCACTCAGTCAATATCTAATAATGCTCTCTGCCTCAGACACTGGGCATGTGGTCTTGCTTTCATGACTAGGAACTCATTCACACTGTCTCTGTGTTTCTAGTTGACCAGTTAAACAACTGAGTCCTAAGTGCACAAAAGACTGATAGTAATGACAGCAATGAAATCAACTTTGATTTTTGTTCTTTATGTTTCCCCTGAAAAAGATTTGTCTGTAAAGTGAAATGACCCCGCTCTCATCTTGGCTTTGCTGTTACAGGAAACCATGAATGCCATTTAATTGCCCTGTATCTTGTTTCAGCTCACAAAGTAAACAGCAGGCATACCCATGACTTCACAGTGCAGGTTTGTGATGGTTCCCTGAGACCTACGATGAAAGCCCATAATGGTGTTGCTACAAAATTACTTTAGAAACCTTCACTTTCGGAAACTTAAATTTTCAATACCCTTGAGTCATTTTGTAATTGTAATTACACTAGGGTGGTGATGGAGGGAGGGGGGCTGTAAGGGAAATCCAGCCATCTGTGGCACTTGTTCTTCCCTGGAGCCAGAGCCAGAGGAGATAATGATTTATCTGAGATGTTGTTAGTCCCCCCTGCCCCCCGGAAGGAGAATAGACAGTGGTTTCTTTTTGTGGCTTTAAAGACCATTTGCTGATAGGTGTGATTTCATTAGACAAAAGTGTGGATGAAGGTACATATGGTAATGCCAGAGTGGTAGTTAAAAATGAGAGAGTGCTTTGTTTTCTGGGGGACAGAGTAGGATATGAACTGTGAGAAAGCATCACAGCTGAAAATGGCAAACCAAGAAAAATCATCCCTGTGCTCTGTGTGGGTGGTTCTGTCCTCTCCGACTTCCTATGGCCACGTAACCCCAGGATGTGGCTCTGCTATGGGAGACTGACATTAATATAACTTCGGACTCTGAACCACACATCTGTGACTTAATCTCGTGGTCACTTGTAAATGTCTGTTACACAGCATGGTTGCTACCTGCCCCCTGTCTCCCTGATGAGCAACAAAACCAAGCTACCGTGGGCTGGCACTGTATAGAGAAGTCGCATATTTTTAGTCTTTCGGGTAACGGGAAATGAGGAGCCCATGTATTAAGGACCTTGAATGTGTATGTGTGTATGTGTGCATGCACTTTCATGCTTGTCCATAAAGGGGGCCAAGAAGATGTTGTGAGAGGTAGGAAGAGGACAGAGATGAGAAGGGTAGAAAGTGTTTATTCTGTTTACAGAGGGCTAGGAATGAAGCAAGTTCATGCTGCTTAAGACATAAATGCTGATTAACTGCTTTCCATCGTTCTTTATGAAAAAAGCATTATAATAGAATTTGAACTGTTTTTCCCAAATCGTAGTATTTACCAAGAACAGTGTGTCCTTCATAATGAGGTACACCTCAGATGAGAGGACGCTTTTGAGCATCTCTTCTTTTATGTGGAATATTGCTTATCCTAGAACAATCCTGATTTTAAAAAAAATGTGTTAACATATAGTCAGCAGAAACCTAGACTAAGAATAGCACATGACTAGCATTATAAAAATATGTGCTATTATCACTAGTGTTCTTCCTGGTCATTATTCACCCCCTTGAAAGTGGGGACCCTGGGTTATTTACCTTGGAAGCCCAAAGATGAATCAGACATAACAAATACGCATGAGCAGAACTTCTGGGCCATTGGAGAGGAAGCAGGAAACAGGTAAATGAAGCTGACTTTTGGAGAACGAGAGCATTCCAGCATTGCTGACAGGAGATGATGCCTCCAGGGAAAGGAGCAGGATGCACAGAGGCCACAGTTAGAGGGGGAGCATGGCTGGTTGTTTCGCCTGGTGAAAGGCTGTGCTTTGAGTCATCTCCTGCATTCCCTTGGCCCATGTTTTTCATTTCTTTATACCCATCAATTAAATTTCAGCAGATCGTAATCAGAGGGGCAGCTACTAAATGGATGAAAGTGACTTTGTAATTATAGTTACTGCTAGCTGTGTAATCTATTTGTTCTTGTGATTATTAAGGCTCTTATTTTTATAAGCTGATTGCCTCCTCTTCTAAAATGCACTCAATATTATGCAAATACAGTCAAGGAAGTATGCGAGCCTAGAAATGTACTTTCTTTTGTACCATATAATAAATCTCACAGCATACAGACCCAAGGTAGCTTCGCCTTTCTCCCAAAAGGTCCACAGCCCATTGACTCAAAATAGATTGGGACTGCCTTCTGTTCCCTCAGCCTTGCCAAGAGGAGAGAAATCACAGCCCAAGTTTGGATTAGCTTTTGATACAATACACAAGATGTCATGACTCCTTTTCGCTTTCCATAACTAATTCCGTTGTCTACTACTGAAAATGACTGCTGTTCGCTCTTTTTGTCTACCTAGCTGAACATTCCTCTACAGAGCAGTATGGAAAGAGCCCCCAGCTTTAGTTCTTGGTGGAGTGAAGGGGAATCTTCTGACAGACTTGCTGTCTTCATGTGCCTCGGTCAGCCCTGACAGCTCTTTCAGGGCTCATGGCCACACATTGATAAAAATCACATGCTTTGTATCTTTTAGACAATTGAACTCTCTTTCGTTGTGTCTTAAGGTCAAGTTCAAAGTTAATAAGCATCTTATTTCCTTAGAATAAGATTTTCTTAACCAGAAGAGGATTTATGTATTTTCTTAGTGAACTCTAAATCTGAAATAATCATCCCGCAATGGGAACTAACACAAACAGATGTCCACATCAATAAAGTGTGATAGGGCTCCGCATCCTGCAAACTGTGAGAAGCCACAGACCTAGAGAAATCAGCAGATGGCATAAGTATTTCTTGAATGAATTGGTACTTTCTTTTTCTTTGTTAGTGGCCAGTTATGTCCTATGAGTTGCGTGTCACATTTTAAAACAGTGTCTTGTTTAGATCATGAGTCCAAAGCCAAGGGCCTCCTGGCTCCTGGTAACAGATTATTTGAGCTGAAAACACTGTGCTGAGGAGATAACTGGAATATTAGTCTTCTAAAACCAGATACAGAGATGTAGGCTTCGCTGCCACTGTTGTACAGTCTCACACAGAGCCACATCCCAGATGTGGAAGGAAAACTGTCTAAAGAAGCACTTGGACTGCTAATGGCCCTCTCACACTGTGGGATGCGCTCTCTTTCTTTCTTTCTTTCTTTCTTTCTTTCTTTCTTTCTTTCTTTCTTTCTTTCTT